TCTTTCGACCGAATCTGACCTTCTCTCGGCAATCACTCAATACTGAACATGAAATGACATTTGCTGAATGAATTGACATGAAAAGCCCGATGGTTTGATACTTAACATAATCAGTCATGGTGCTCGGCCCGCGGTGCGCGCTACATGCGCGACCATGTCCTCGACCGAATCATCGAACAACATGAACATTTATCGAGCAACACAATATAACAGAACATGATATTGAATAAAAAGGCTGATTATATAACAACTACTCGAGAGATTGTTGATTCACACATGAACATGATTAACTTACGCCACACGCACGGCCGAAGCAATGAACATGACTAATTAATTGGAACTAACATGACTTTAATATGAGTATTCCAAGGTAAACTCAAGTTACCTCTTCGAACAACTGACTGAACGCACCAACTGATCGGGATAATCGGGCTTCCGTGCGTGTGCGACGCTCTCGGCGTGCGATGTGCGGTGCTTGACTTGCGGTAAGCTAGGCTCTCGTGCGGTAATCTTGCTCCTATACTTAAGGTAAGCTTCCACCTTGCTCTCTCTCTCTTATACTTAGTATGGTGAAGGTGTGGGAAACAAAATTTTATCCCAACACTTCCTTATAACTAATGGCCGAATATACGTGAGGAGGTGGAAAGTATTTTTAGCCAATAATCTTGTACCATATGTTGGGAACTTAGGGCTTTAATAGCTTAGTCATCACCTAAACAAGCTTAGTCACAAGTTTAGGTGACACCTCATGCTTAAAATGCATGAAAATTGCCATGAATTTTCCCAATTTGAACACGGCAATTAGGACATAAGTTGGCACCATTAATCCTTTAATGAAGCTCAATTACATGCTTAATTTGCATGAAAAATTTGCCATGCATTTTACCAAAATTCCTCACGACATTTGAATTGTATTTGAGCACAAGACTTAATTGCTATGGCTTTGTTAATATTTAGGAGAAAATAATGTTAATGCCTACGGCATTATTGATGTTGATCATGATTAATACTCTAATTAAGCACAATTAATGCTTAATTATTTAATTAGACATAATACTCAATTACCAAAATTATTCCGAATGTAAACGGGACGTCGAAAATAATTTCGGGTAAACTTAACTGAAATAATTAGTTCCGAACATAAACGTGATACTCGAAAATTAACTCGAATATTCATGACTTGGACGATTAATCTGAATATCGACATTTTTGATAATTTGTCAACTTAACTAATTATTTCCGAATTCATTAATTAATGAAACCGATCGGAATTAAATCTGGAAACTTATTCGGTTACTTAAATAATTTAACCGAATAATTTATCGACTAATAGTCGAACTTGGAATATAACTAACTGATTAACCTGAACTTAACCATGAACATGATTATTTATTAACAAAGGCTAGCTTTAAAATTAAAAGCTAGTATTTTCCTTTATTAATAAAACTCGGGGTGTTATAATCCACCCTCCTTAAAATATTTCCGTCCTCGGAAATACTAAAACTGGACGCACAAACTTAACATAAAGCTTATACTTACTGATTATATGACTTGAAAATTCAGTACTTAATACTGAATAATGGATTTGATCTGAACTGAAAAATCATCAATTCACCATTAAGTGAATTGTTAGTTACTGCTGACTGAGAATGGACACTTTTCTAAAATATAGTGTTCCACTGATAAGACATGATCTCAAAACGAAATTCTGGAGCGTACTGGTCATCATCTCATGGCTGCCTGCTGATCTCCAGTCTGAACGCTGGTTGTGAAAACTCCAGTCGTTGGTACACACGGAAGATTCCAGAGATACGCATATGTACAAATGAGGATAACTAGCTATATTGGTAATTACCTTTCATGAACATCTGCTCGACAACGCGGCACATCGTTCGCGACACACCTGCTCCTCATCAAGTGAGTGCGGCACGCCTGCATATAGCACCTGGCGAACATTGCACCTGCGTCGTTGATGTAATCTGATCGTATTTATACCTCAAGCTAGTAACCTCAATGTACTATAATACTAACTCTCGGTAATCTCCCAGTGTACTGTGACTCAAGCATGGCATCCTTGAATGGAAAGCGTCGGTTTGTCATCATGGCACGATTTGTTGCTATCGATTGGCCCTTCTTCGTCGCGGTGTATTTCAACCTGTGGTACCTACAACTGTTTACTTCCTCTGAGGTTAATCTTAACCTCAAGAAGAAGTCCATCATGAATTAATATCTCCTACGATTTCTCAGATTCTTCAGAATTTGAGAA